AAAGGGTTAGGCGGAGCAGTAAAAGAATGGAGACCAAGGGAACAGCATGTGGTAGGTCCTGAGGCAGACAAGAGATCAGGCATTTGTGGAGTGAAAGTTGTCAATGGGACTGAAGAGGAGCCTTGTTGAGATTTTATCCAAAGTGTAACAGGACGCCAATGAGGGCTTACATCACACTCTGCAGTCACACTGCTGTCCTGTCTTCACGCCCACTGCCTTGCAAACCTCACTGGGAGCTGAGGAAGAGGTGTTATCCTTGGCCACCAACGTCCAGAGGGACCAACATGTAAAGGAACAATTCCACGTGCTAAGAGAATTGTAGAGGTAAAAACAAATGATGTGGGAGCACGAGTTAGAGACGCATAAATTCCACTTGGTGAAGGCTCCCTCTGGAAGCACAGGCCTAACTCATTGAGAGAACTGTCCACAGCACGTTTTATGACGTACGCCCCAGCTACCCTCTGCTACCTGGCATGTCTCCGGTGTTACACCGCAAAGGGATAGTGTATATCCAAAGTCAGCACAAGTGAAACAGAAAAGAAAAGTTAACTTTCTTCCTGACATCCTCTCAGACCCAACCTGCCCCCTGCTGCCACTGGCACTGTGATCTCTCTGTGACACATGTTTGCGCATGTCACTGCTGAGGAGATCCTTTGTCAACAGGATTAGGTCCAGGTTCTTCAGAATGGCAAACGAAGTCCTTCTTGGTCTGGGTCCTCTTACCTGCCTCCTCCTCTCCACTCTCCCACGTACATCATTCTCTGTAGCCACCTGAACTCCTCCCTGTTCCTTAGACATATCACACTCTTTCTAGCCCCCATGTCTTTACCTTGTATATGCTTTGCTTCTGCCTGGGATGTCCCTTCCCCTCCTGCCCACTAATGGGGACACATCTCATCCGTGGAAACTTATATGACTCCCCAAGCAGAGATGATGCCTCCATCCACCTTGTAAAAGCCCTACTGTAAAGGGTTGTTTGCAGGTCTGTTTTCATGCTAGATTTCTATGTTAATTTTTACACTCCTTGAGTAGCATAGTACAAGACCCAAATGGGCATTCAACAAATATTTGATGAATTGAAGTATAGATTAATCTTCAAGGGAAAAATCCCACAAAGCACTTTCTTTTAAAGCCAAATAGGAATGATCTTCAGCATTAACTGTTTTGGATTATTTATATTTATGTTTTAACATAACTAATGCATAGTCATCATTCCCATGACTTTCAGATCAAAGAATGCAGGAAAACAGTTTTTCCAAGAGGAAATATTAAAAACATGAATACTGCAGTAGTGGAAAGACCATGGTGGTTGCAAACTGCTATAAGAAAGTCTACTAAAATCCTCTACATAAAAGGAAAAAAGTACGAAGATGCCCTCTAAAGACATATAGATCTTACAAAGATAGCTGACATATACTATGTGCCAAATATTCTCCTCAGGGCTTTATTTGGATTCTCTCTCTCCATACTCATTACCAGCATGTGAAGTCAGCATCATTATGGCACCCATTTCAGAGAAGAGAACACTGAGGCACAGAGGCTGAGCAATTTGTCAATATCACATGACTAGGAAGCAGCAATTTGAATCCAGTCAGCGTGACTCTAGAGATTAAGCTCCTAAACTCTATGTCATACTACTTTAATTATTACCCGTCGTTAGTATATGTTGCCAGGATTTCACTTGTTGTTATCTTCATGAAATTTGTTACCAGATATTCATTTGCTTTATACAAGTATCACTTCTTAATAAAATGCTGCCATGGTGGTTGGTAAGCCAGCACTGTCCTGAGACTCCTGAATACCGTTTCATTATTCCCATCCTCCTGTCCCTACCTCTGGACATCAACATCCCCCTTGGGACACACACACACACACAGACACACAAACAAGAATAAGGCCTGGAGTGACTCTGACCCCTGCCTCAGGTCTACGGCCCCAGTGGCACTGACGGGTTAGTATCTATCTAATTCTGATTGTTAAACATTGTGACTACCACCCCTAACCGTAACCAAGTCAACATACGAACCTCAGGCAATCGACAGTGGTGAGGTAGGCAGGGAGAGGTTCAGTGAGTTCCTCAAGGCGGGCTGGGAAGGGCTCACAAATCTCTGCCCGTCTGCAGGGGGCTTGCTGCCTGTGGACAGAGCATGGGCTTACGGGCTTCGCATTGGACAGGAGTGGGTTTGCCTCTCAGCTGCGCCATTCACTAACTACATGGCTTTGGGCAAATGTCTTCACCTGCGGAGCCTCAGGTTTTCACTTTGGGGTGATGCTAATCTTTCATGGGTGATATGAGAACTAAATAATAAAAAGGACACGAAGCGCCTAAATTAGCGTTTGGCACAGAGCTGTTGCTCAGAGGATGTTAATGTGCTAGATGTTATTGTTTTTGTGTAAAGTAGGTAGTGCAACAGTTTCCACTTTACACACTGGTTATGAGCTTTGAATCAGTTAATAAAAGCAAAGTTATCAGAAACATGCCTGACACATACTAAGCTCAAAATATAAATGGTGGTTATTATTATTTTGTCATAAGCCAGTTCTATTTGAAGTTTGTAATTTATGTGCCATAGTTTTTCAGAATAGGTTTTTTTTTTAAACTTTTTTCTCTTAAAAGGATCCTTTCTAGGCTGAAACTTTGTGAAAAAATTCTATAGAATTTGACATTGTTTGTCACTTTTTTATAAGGATTCAAATACTAATATAGCAGATATACAGTTTAAATGATATTTACGTCTTCTGTTTATAAGGTTGATAAAATGGCTGGCCCGGTGGCGCAGTGGTTAAGTTCGCATGTTCCTCTTCTCGGTGGCCCAGGGTTCACCGGTTCAGATCCCGGATGCAAACATGACACCGCTTAGCAAAAAAAAAAGCCATGCTGTGGTAGGCATCCCACGTATAAAGTAGAGGAAGATGGGCATGGATGTTAGCTCAGGGCTAGTCTTCCTCAGCAAAAAGAGGAGGATTGGCAGTAGTTAGCTCAGGGTTAATATTCCTCCAAAAAAAAAAATGGTTGATAAAACCGGTTTTAGTTTAGGAAAAGCCAACCAAGACTTATGAGATCTGTCACAAACATATTTAAATATTCTGTTTTAATACTTTGAGGCAGTGGTGAGTGGACTCTTAACTTGGAGAGAAGATTATCCAGAAAGGAGAGAAAAAAACAACATTAATTTAAATTTTGTGTTCAATTGATTTTGACAAAAAGAAAATGAATATCAAATGGAAAATCAGAGTGGGATCCTCAGGGAGAATTTTTATTTTCCTTTTGGACCACGGAAGGGAGAGTTTTAAGGGATGGGATGGAGAGGAGATTATGGAGCTGGTCCTGTGGATTCCCACAAATGAGATGAAAAACCACTGAAACCTTAGTTGCCATGGGCAAGCAACAGAAACACTAACACTGCGAGAAAGGTTTTCTGGTTTTAAAATGATGCTTGATTACTTCTCATCTGAAAAAGTGAATGAAGAGTCCAATAGTTGATGCTGGTCCTGCCTCTGTCATTGGTTATTGCCATTGGCAGTGGCCTTACATAATCTGATAACCCCTCTGCCTTTCAGAACCATCATGTGAAATGTTTGTTGGTTGGACGTGGTGCTTTTTAATCTCCATTTTAAGCTCCTCTAAATTTAACCTTCGAGTAAGCAATGTAGGAGGTAACAAGTGTCTAAAACATTTCTAACACTGCGCATGCTGAGCTTCATAGTGAGCAGATGGCTTAATGTAACTCGCTCACATTTATGAAACACCAACTGTGTGCTATATAGATATAAAAATACAGGTATAAAATGCAAAGAAATGGGTATAAAAGGCAATATAGATACAAAAATGCAAAGAGAAATTGTGTTCTCTCGGGAGCTCCCATTCTAGTAGAAGAAACAGCGGTACAAATAATCTACAGCACTGTGGGATTGCACACAACATAAGATATGGCTAGGTATCTGGTCAAGGTCAGAGATGATTCTGAGTAGTGTACCGAGTGGAATTTTAAGGACGAATGTTGAGAATTTAGGCCATCCTACAATTAATAAAATTCACGTGTAAATGAACTAGTTGACTCTCTCAGCTGATGGTCTCCTATGTGTCTGTATGAAGTGGCCCTTTGGAAAGAAGGCAACCCTTTGGTTGGGTATTGGACATTTAAGTATTGATGCTACTCAGTAAGTACTTTAGAGCTCTATCCATGTAATTCTTGCAGCGCCATATATATAACATTTTGTAAACAGCAAGACAAACCTCCCACTGCCAGCGTAGCCTTGCCTGTACAGGACTCACTTCTTGTCTGCTTCCACCAGGCAGGAATAGGGATACCCAGTGCTATTTTCAGCCAGCGGCACCTCTTCGGTGAGTTACCAAGCAAGCTGGAGCATAGATTTCAAGGGAACACGGTCAAGACAGCAAGCGATTCTTACGTAATGTTCTATAAAGAGCCAAAATTGCTTCAAAGACTACACTAATGTCATTCAAATTTTCAGGGGTGTTGTTTCTTGCACCCCAGAAAGCTAATCCCCTCTGTCAGTAGCCAGCCTCTTCAACCCAAACTCTGGCCATTGGCTTTGGTCTCAAGTAATTAAAATCAACAGATTGCTTAAAAGATGGATTTTCCTTTCAAGCAGTTGTTTGTCCTATCCTGACAGAAAATTGGAACCCAGGAGGATTTATTATAATCTGTCTCCTCCCAAGTAGGAGATAGCTAATAATAATAACAGTAACTACGACTTTTGGAGTCCTATTCTGAGCCAGCCTCTTTCACAGACATTAGCTAGCTAAATCCTCTTGATTATCTGCAATGGCAGGTACTATTTTCCTGGGGGCTTGAGGCTCAGAGACATTAAATGAACTAATGGCAAAAATATGGTAATAAGACATTAAAATATTTATCTAGCCAGGATTCATCCTAAATGCTAGTGGAGTGTTTAGGTTTCTTAAGGTGATATTCATGGGAATGGGGGCTGGGAATCCAAGTTTATCAGCCAAAGACCCTTTCTTTTCTCTGCAGAAGAGACTTCTGTGATCCACTCACCCTGGAGCTGCAGTAGGGGACAGATGTAAGCCAGGTAAGATTGATATTTTGGCAAGACAGAAAAACCTTTATACATTTGTCATGCATTTTGTTAATCTTACCTTTGTGTGCCACTGTTCATATTTATCTGTGAATCATGCCCCTAGGAAAACCTTCAACTATGAGCCAATATTCTAGCAAAGGTGGCTGTCAAGTGCATTTTCCCATTGCTCTCAACGTTAAAATGGAAATACATTGTGATAGAGGAAGAAAAATGTTGGATACTGGACATAACCTACTGATATTTAGGTTATAGCACATTTTTTTTAAGTTATGCTTCTTTTGGTGAAGATTGACCCTGAGCTAACATCTGTTGCTAATCTTCCTCTTCTTTTTTCCCCAAAGCCCCAGTACATAGCTGTATATCCTAGTTGTAAATCATTCTAGTTCTTCTATGTGGGATGCTGCCACAGCATGGTTTGATGAGTGGTGTGTAGGTCTGCGCCCAGGATCCAAACTGGTAAATGCTGGGCTGCCAAAACAGAGTGCATGAACTTAACCACTTGCCCACAGGGCTGGCCCCATAGGACACTTTTGAAGATCTTTCTTAAAAAAATTTTCTTTCTTAAAATAAAATACAATATGTGATACATAAATAAGAACCCAGAGAGATGTACAAAGATAGCCACAAGGAAAATCAATGCTATTTAAACAATGAATGCTATATCAGAAGTTCTGATTTTATATTACATTTTCTGCAGTGGCAGCAATAAAGTGGTAAACATTTCACCAGTCTCAAACATCTCAATGTTTTAAAATTTATATGTAGTTTTCATTATTTTACTTAGCTTGTTGCTTGAAATTGCATCACTTGATCTTATCATATATCTTTCCCCAAGAAAACCTGTAAACTATTTTTATTTGTTTTCATATATGTATTTAATTATATTATTCCTTTTCCCTAATGCATATTAGGAGGTTTACAATGGGTATATAAAATGCAATAAAGTGCATAAGTTAAAAGTGGAATAAAGGAAATAAAATCAGGGACAAAGATTAGACAGAAATAGAACAAAAAAGAGCCTATTACTGTGACCCACACATATACTGGAATAGGAGACAAAGTAGGGAGGCAGTTTGTCAATAAGCTTGCCAGCAGCTAAGTGAAGAAAATGTGGTCAGGTATACAGTTCAGAGTCCGTAAGATAGAAACAGACTGACCACTCAGGAGAATTACGTCTATTCTTGGCTGTGAGATCAGCCAGGAATTTTTTCCGGAAGTCCTCATAAAAAGGATGATGTGTGACGTGGAAAATACATTTCTGACAATACCTTTAGAATCGGGAGCACTTTCTTATAAAGACCCTCAATATAAACTGAAAAGACGCTATTGAAGTTCAGTTTACTAAAAAGATTACTTCAGAGATCTTTAAAGTAGTTACAGTTTTCTTGAGCTGAAAAAACTAAAAGCACAGAAATTCAAGGATGGAAAGTTCCAATCCTTCCTTGGCAATGTAGACTTATTCCAATGTTTTTAGTCGAGCTCAAGTCCAGAGCTTTCAGAAACCATGTAAGAGTTTGTTTACAATTACCTATGGGTTGATGTGGTCGCTGGAAAGATGGTTTTTACGACAGGTAAAATGATCCATCGTTGGATGTCCACAGCACAGTGTTAGACTTAATGTCAGCTGAATATAGAATAACGAATGGGCACTCTTAGCTGCGTTGTTAGAGGCAGGGTGGTTGTGGAGGTTAGCATCTCTCACCCTTCTATATTCTGTTTATGATGCTGGGACTGGGTCCCTGCAAACCAGAATTCTTCCCCAGCTCTGTCAAGAGGGAGCACAAGAGGAAGACAGAAAGGCTGGAGGAGGAAGAAGAGACTTGCTCCATCCTGTGTGTTTGCTGCTCCTGTTGGAACTGATTCTCCACAAAGCAGCAGTATCTGGTTCCAGAAAAGCAATTGGTTCCAGTTTGCAGTTTTCCCACCTTCCCAGTATCAGAGGTACCAGCACGAATGTGCTGGCACTCCTTCCTCAGACACCCAAGTCTCAGAGCTGGGAGGTCCCTCCGTGAACTCCTACGGCACCAGCACCAGTCACGCAGTACCTTCTCCTCTGAGGTTTGGGTCTTAGAGGGCCCTTCCTCTAAACTGCCAGTTTCTAATGATCCCAACCTGCTCCCCAGCCTCAGTGTGGGAAGCTGCTCCCTGCAGTTCTCACCTTTGAAATATCCTGGCATTTTTTTTTTGTCTTTTCAGTTCTCAAAACCTGATTAATAATATTTCACTGGTCTGGTTTCTGTTTCCAGGACTCTGACTGACACAGTGGTAAATACAAGATGACTTCAGAAGACCCCAAAAATTCCATAAATTGAGGACTTGATGTTCTTGATGTTAGAGTAAATGTATAGTTTAGTTCATTAATTCCTTAACTTCCTGATTTCTAATGGGCACCACAAAGGCATTATCTAGAAAATAACTTGTCTTGACCACCTTTGAAGGAATAACAATTGACATGATCAGGGTTACAATACCCACTAGTTATGAACCAGGTTGATGGGTGCCCATTTTGTACCTATTTTTAGATTTTTTAGATAGGCTAAGTATTTATGATTACATTTCATTTTATTGCCTGATTATAAAAGATTTATGTGCTTTTTCTAGGAAATCGGGGAAAAAATGGGAAAGCACAATACAGAAAGTTTCAGTTACTTGTAATCCCACCATACTTGTTTATATTTTATCATTATATGTGTATATGTTATATATATTTATATATATTAAATAGGCTTCTTATTGCACACATTTTTATAAGCTGCTTTTTCATTCAATCGACACATTTGTTAGGATTTTTTGGAAGATTCTCAATGTATTGCATCTTTTTAGATGAAAGATTAATGTAAAATTCTGTCCACAAAAGAGAAGACTCAAGCCTAATCTTGAATATATAGTATTTTTAAGTTGTATTCACGTTTAACTCAGAGGTCTTTTAAAGAACAAGAAGAAAAGGTGAACGTTTGAGACAGGGATGGTGAATAGCCTCCGTCACATGTGCCCTCAGCATCGGCTGCACAGAGCCCTGCGATGACAAGAGATCTAGGGTGCTCTCAGTGGAACACAGTGCTGAAATCTATCAGCAGTTCTTCAGTGGGTGTGGTGGCACGTGAGGCACGTAACTCCTAGCCATGCTCCGAGGCGTGTCATTAGATCTTGCAAAGTGGAGTCTCTTTCAATTACCACGAATTGTCACAAAAGAACTCTGCTCAAGTGAAGACTTTATTCATTTATCTAATAACAAACACACTTAGACAGCGGATTTTGGTTATCTATTGCTAAATAAATCACCTCAAATCTTAATAGTGTAAAATAACACTCATTTTATTATGCTCATGATTCTGTGGGTCAAATATTCAGGCAGGACACAGAGAGAACAGCTCATCTCTAGTCTATGATGTCCAGGGTCTCAGCTGAAGAGACTGGAATGGTTACACTGGGGCTATATGTGCAGAGCCTTGGTTAATGCTGTAATCTGGGTTCCTTGGTTCTTCTCCACCTGGTGTCTGCTGAGGCTGAATGTACGAGGTGCCTCCTTTGCTCACATGTCTGGCTCCTGGGCTGAGATAGCAGAAACAAATGAGAATTGGATAGATATCTCTCTCTCCAGGCAGCCTTTCCACATGGTTAGCTTGGGCTTCCTTACAGCATGGCAGTCTCAGGGGAGTTAGACTTCTTTCATGGTGACTGGCTTCCTCTAAGCAAGCCTTACAAGAATATACAGTGGAATCCTTAAGGCTTCCTAAAACCTATACTCAAAGTTCATGCAGCATCATTTCTGTCACGTTCTGTTGGCTACATGAGGCCAACCCTCATTCAGTGTAGGGGATACTACACTGGGAGTTGAGGTTCTTTGACCACCTATTTTCGAGGAGTAGTTTCCACACAGTATTTTTCAGATCAGGCTCTTTCACTTGAATTATCTTGTCTGACACTCACTATACTCTGTAAGGTGAAAGTTTCAGGATACCCATCATTGAAAGCAGATGAAAAAGGAGATCCCATGGATTTCCAAGCTAAGAGGTCATTTACTAGTGGTGACTCCATGCTTGGGAGTATTTTTCTCAGAGAGTATGTATCATACTTGGAAGCCCAAATTCTAGGATAAGAAGCAAATAATTGGGGATTAGAAATGGAAGGTATTGGAGAGGAAAGCTCAGGGAAGAGAGAGTGCAGTTAATTACCAAATATTGTATAAAGGGATATCAGTTATGAGAGGGAGACAGGGCATTTTGGAACTGAATCTGTGAACACTTTTCATAATAGGGTCCATTTTTATAGAATTTGTACAAGTCATGGAAAAGGGACGTTAAAGAAAATCCACCACAGCAGACATTTAGGAAAGGCTTTATTATCTCCATTTTATAAACAAAGGAAGGAGGCACATTAAGTGACTTGTCCTAAAATACATAGCTAGTTAAGAGGCAGAGCCAGATGAAAGCTCAGATTATGTAACTAGAAGTAAGTGCGCTTTTCTGCTGTATCATGAGATCTCCCAAGCTAGCCATTATATATACTACCAGTTAGAGTTCTTGGGTGTAAATACAAAAGCTTGCTTTGGCTAGCGTATACAGAAAAGACATTTCTTGGAAAGCTATCAGGTAGCTTACAGAATGGATGGCAAACCTGGAGAATTTGTTTCAGAAAATATTAACTGAGAAAGTCATTGCCGAGCCACAGGAAGAGACTGGTTAAGTCCTTAACATTGGCACTTGTGGCCTCTAGACCCTTGTAGCAAGCATCACCGTTCCACTGCTGTTCCATTAACGTTGCTGATCACACAACCTTAGTGAATATCTTGGAGTCTTTGTGTCATCCCTCAAGATCTCAAGTCCCTCAAGTCCCAGGTGGGAGCATCTGATCAGTCAAGCCTCAGTCACATGTTCAAACTGCCAGGTGGTTGTTTAGAAAAGAAACATCTAGGCCTGTGTGTCTGTTACTCACCAAAGCACACATGTGGGAGGGGGGTGGTCCTCCAAAATGAAATGGGTTTTTGACTCCTGGCTAGCCAGAAATAACAGCAAGTGTCTGCTATACACATTTTTACCTGCAGTGACCTCATTTTCCCACTCTATTTGAAGTCCTAAATGGAACACAATACTCTCATTGGAAATGCAATAGTTTGAGGCAAGGATGCCAGGAGATGAAAGTGAAGAGTGCCTGGCCAAGTCCAGGATATTGGCCAGTGCAGTCCACATCCCGAGGCTTATTCTCTGCCCTCTGCAGCTTGTAAATGAAACAAAAAGAGAGGAGGGAACTGCTGAAAGCTGAGACTTGTCCCTATGCCCATGACAGCAATGCCTGTGTTTACTTGTCTATTGTAAATCTATTAGAAAAGATGATGGTATGAAAGTCGATATTACATCAGTCCTCTTTGAAGCCAAGATTGCAACAGGATGGTCTGAATAAGAATTGCTGTTTTCAGAGGACATGCAAGAAGGGCTTTCAGTGAATTCCCCACATGACATCTTAGCAGACTGTGAGAGTCTGATGTGTGCAGTCTAGCAAGCGATTCTTTGTAGACTAAAAGAGAAGGCTCAGAATGCGATGGGAGCAGAGAGGAGAACAATAGTTTTACAGGCTTTGGAATTTAACCAGAGGAAGTGAATAAGTATATATTGATTTGCTTTATAAAACCAATAGGGAAATTCAAGAGGGGAGTCTATAAGAAAAGAAATTCCAGGGTCCAGATGAAGTTGAGAGGAGAATTATTCAGAGGAGATATGAGTGAATTTGGCTAAAACAGAGATAAAAACAAACTCAGGCAATGAGTCAAGGTTTCATTAGCAGAGAAAATTTAGATGAGGCATTGAACTAAAGGGATATGATGAAAAGAGCAGAATGACTAGGTCCATACCAGGGGAGGAGAAAGACTAGAACAAGGAGCCAGTTATAGAATAAATATGGAGGGAGGGTGAACTAGGAAAAGAAATTCTTCAGCATTGTGTGAGATCGCCTAACACATCCAGTCTGGGTGGGATCAAGTTCTGAAAAAGGCAAAACAGGCTGAAACCAAGCATTTCATATTTATCATCTCATGCTAACGAAGTCCTCCTCCCTATTTTACAGATGGGCAAATCGAGGCTGAGAGATGTTAAACTATTTGCACCAGAACATATTTAGCAGTGGGCTAACCAGGATTTAGGCCAAAATCTGTGTGATTCACAAGACCAAGTTCTTTTCGCTTTAGAATGATGACTTATTTTCAGAAAGTTTAAATTCAGAGGTTATCTGCTCTTGTATTTATTTCCAACTTGAGCATTAAGTAGAAGAGATAGGCTGCTCTTGAGATTCCAAGTAAACTTTAAAGGAAACAAAGACTGTATAAGCCCCATTTTTCTGGGGAGAGAAGTCAAAGGAGGAAGACCAATGCATTCACCCATTCCAATTCCTCTCTTCTCCACATATGCGCGATCTATTCATATTTTAAGACTTTTTAAAAATTATTCAACTAATGCTGATGTGGGAGACAAAGATGGCACTCTCCAAAGATTTGTGCTCCTTTCTTTGATGTAGGGTTGTTGCTGGGATGTGGCTGTCCAACCAGGGACTACTCGCTCCAGCCTTCCTTTTATGTAAATAGGGCCACATAACTAGTTAATTCCAGGCCAAGGTCATTAAGAAGCACGTGTGCCTTCTTCATCATTCCTCTTTCTTTCTCTTCCAACTAGGTATTAGCAACCCAGATGATCTTGGGAAGCCACTTCATTGAAGACAACAGAGCCTCTGTCAGCCCGGCTCCTGAATAACTACCACAATCTCCACCCTTTTCCTCTCCTCAAACATGAAGATCAGTATTAAACTATTACTTGAGTAAAAAATAAGGTTTTGTTTTGTATTAAACCATTGCTATTTGGGAGTTTATTTGTTGTAGCAGCTGGCATTGCCTGAACTAACCCAACTGAATTAAATTATCCAGGCTCTTTAATGTTCTTGCTTCTCTTTCTTTCTTATTTTGCTTTTGATGCTTTCTATTGGAACTTGCTTAATCATTTGAACTTAATTCATGAACCTGAGATTCTGCAGCTCATAGCACACTTTTTCATGGCAGAGTTAGTTCATTTGTTACTCACTGAGCAAGTATTTAATAAACATGTATCCTGTGCTACATGTTAAGTGCCATATGGGACCATAAGTAAAATTTTTTAAATGTCCCTTTAGAAGTGACTAACGCAATGATGTTAACTACCAGGATATTAAGGCAACATTGCTCATTATAGCAAAAGACAGGAAAATGCATAAACGTTCAAGAATAGAAAAATGGATAAGTAAGTCTATAGTATATTTGTCTAATAAAACACTAAAAATTATCTTTAAGGAGAACTGTGTTTGAACTTTATTTCGTAGGGACTTGGGGATCATTGAAACTTTTTGAGAAGATAAGTGAAATGATCAAATTGTACTTTAGCAAAAATAATCAGCCAGTAGTATGTAGGGTCAATTGAATTAGTAAGAGAATTATGGGTGAGATGACCAGTTGCCCTCAGTATTTGTTCTCCCCTTCTTTTATTAGCAAGAGAACTCCAGAGTATTAGCTGATCAAACAGCAGCCCAGCTAAAGTTAATATTTCCCAGCCTCCCTTCAGATAAGTGTGACCACGCAACTAAGTTCTGGCCAGGAGTCGCTTTAACAGGAGATATGACTGGAGTGTCACACCTATCTTTCTCAAGCACCTCCCATCAAGACATCTCAGCCGGATGGTGAGAGTCAACCAATTGCCTTCATATCCAAGCCTACTGTTTCAATGACCATAAGATATTAAGTTGAGAAAGGCAGGGCAGATCAGATAGAACGCAGAGGCCAGTAATTGCCAGAATTTTCAACCACAAAATTTGTGCTTGAGCTGCAAGGAGGCTGAACTCTCTTGACACAGCAGTGCCTTTTCTCTGTCTGGCTGCTCTTGATCTTCTCTTAGTCCCTTGCAATGCCCTGCAGGCATTCTCTCATGGACAGGATCCCTTTTTAAATGAACACACAACCAGGTCCCATTGAGGCTTGTTAGAAATTAAGAGCCCCAATGTTGGGAGATGTGAGTCACCACAAGGAAATCCTCTCACAAAGTCCCTCTTGCTCTCCACTCTTTCAGCTCCTTTATAGCTTCATGTGAGTGAGGGAGTTCAAAAGTTGCGTCAATAATTTACAAACCTGACAGGTCCGTCTCTCAACTATCAATGAGATAGAGCATCTATTTTCTTGCCATAGCTGAAACTGAGACAGGACAAATTCCGCTTTAACACACAACCCCACAAAAGACAGAAAGCCACAAGCTAGACAAAGCAAACAAAAAGAGAAATCAGAAAAATTTCTTTAAAGGATATAAGAATAAACAAGGCTGCCCTACAGGACGCAAGGGCAGGAATATAGCTAGACTTCAGGAATAGAAAGGAACCTAGTGCTGGGAAGTCAGGACCTGGGGACACTGGCTCTGGATTCTGAGTTGCTGGCTCCTGCTTCTCTCTGAATGACTGTTTTACTCTTTTCTCTCAGCATATCTTATTTTTCTGCTATTCACTCCACCTGGTTGAAAGTGGATGTTTCAGAACTCCATAGTTCCTACATATCCTATATTTGAGGAATTAGTGTAAAGGGAATTAGAATTTCTGTCTTAATTCCAAACCCCAAAAGACAGAATGTGATTGGCCCAGCTTTGATTGGGTGTCCAAAGAACTATGGATATAGGGACGGGGTTAAACATAGCTTTCTGAAACCCATCCTGTGAGTGAGGGATTGAAGGTCATTGGTCATTTTGAGCTGGATAGATACCCCAAAAGTACTTTCTTCATATAGTGGTAATAGATTGTGGGAAATTGAGAGACACTGTGGAGATAGAATCAACAGGCCTTGGAAGCCAACTGAATGTAATGGGAGAGGAGAAGGAGTCAAGATGCTGAAGGTTGAGTTAGATTAGCGTGGAGGAGAGCAGGGCCACTGATTTAAATAGGGAACAAAAGAGACGGATAATGCTTCTGTTTGGATATTTTGAGTTTAAGATTCTGATGTGACATCTGAATGGCAATTGGTAAAATAAGCTAGAATTCAAGAGCGAAGGAGAGTTGGAGATATTCATTTTTTCATTTATTTAACTGAAGAACTGACTGAGTACCTTCTTTGTGGCAGGTTCTCTTTTAGGCCTTGGAAATATAGCAATGAACAGACAGACAAGTGGTCCTAACCCAGGTAATTGTGTCCTCCGTGGTTTTACAAATAGGCTTAAGACACTCTATGAACCTCTTCAAATAATGAAAAAATTCATATGTGTGATGGACTGAATCTTCGTGTTCCCCCAAAATTCATAGGTTGCAAGCCCAACCCCCAATGTGATTTACTAGGAAGTGGGGCCTTTGGGAGGTAATTAGGTCATGAAGGTGGAGCCCTCAGGAATAGCATTAGTGTCCTCATAAAAGAGGCCCAGAGAGCTCCCTTGTCCCTTCTGCCTGGTGAGGACACAGTGAGAAGACAGCGGTCTGTGCATCAGGAAGCAGGTCTCCGTCAGACACAGACCCTGCTGACACCTTGATCTTGGACTTCCTAGCCTCCAGAACTGTAAGAAATAAATGTTTGGTGTTTAAGCCACCTATTCTATGGTTTTTAAAATTATAGCAGCCCAAACAGACTAAGACAGTATGTATATGCTTAAGCTCATTTCTCTGAGAAAAAAATCCCTGGCTTTCAATAGAATGTGAAAAGGGTACACAACTCCAAAGAAGTAGATAATTACAGGTACAAAACTATATTTAGGCATTAAAAGAAAATATATGGAAAGAACAGAAGCTATTTGTTGACAATGTCCTGATTAACACCAATGCTGACAGTGTAGGGAATGAAGAGAAACCAGAAAATGAGCAGTCAAAGACAACCTAACAGAATAAGATTTGAAACATTATCCAACGTATTGTATTTTTCCTTCTTGGCAATTCCCTTTTAAGTATAGTTGTCTATAAACCCTGAGGCTGAGGCTTAATGTGTTAAGGAAACAAAGAGTAAAGTAAGGGGGAGGGATCTCAGCAAGAAAAAGAGATTATTCTTTTTGAGTTCCAAAAGAGGCTCTTGAAAGTCAGTGACAGAGACACTAACATTGAAAGAGAAAGCTTTTTTCTTAATCCTCCCCCACAGCTAAGAGTCTGGTGGACTTGGAGTACTTTCTTCTTTAGACTATAGAATCTATCAGACTTTATGATCATTCAAGAGCAGATTTTGCTCCATAGAGAGAGAGATAGGAATCCTTTCCAGGCTGAGGAAAGGAGACCTGGAGAGGAATAGGGAGTTTGTATGTTAGTGGGAGCTCTTGTCTCTGCGTCACAATCTGGGTGGCAGATAGAGATACCCAGATGGGTTTAGAGATTGAAAAACAAGGAGCACTGTGCTCCTTTTTCAAACTCTGGAAGGAGACAGGTTTCCCAAAGGTCTTCTGTCAACATGGAATAGTCAGATGAAAGTGGAAATGTTTTCTAGGCAGGTCTAGGCAGAGTGTGTATTGAGATAGCCTCTTCCCACTCTCTGCACCCACCTCCCAGCCTCTTTAGATTTCCTTAAGAAACATTAACAGAACCCAAAGTGTTTTGTGTGGCTAACAAAGCATCAGAGATAGCTGACATTTAAGAAATAGTCTTCTTGCAGGGGGTTACCACAAGAGATAACAGGCAAAAATGACCAGTTATCAAAAAATAAAATGAGACCAGGAGAGACTTTAGTAGAAGCTGCAGGGTGGCCAGCCAAAGCCATGAATGAAAGGAGGGTGTGACTAAGTCTGAAAGGATCACAGTGCCAACCATTGTGAGGTAGGGGTGAATCAACAGAAGCAGGCTACCGAATTTCCAGGAGCAGTCACCATGCACTTGTTGAGCAAAAGACAAGGAGTGTCCTCAAAAGCAAATTCCAACACAGACAGTCTCTAGCATATGAGAAGCAAAGGTAGGCAGCCCCTCAGAGCTTAGATTATTCTGGGGAGAAGGAAAAGAAAATGCAGAAAGTGAGAGTCAAAGAGATTTGCGCTTTAATACGATAAAGCCTCAGTGATACTGATTTGATAAATTTAAGTTTTTCACCGTTAATGGACATGAAAGTCACTAGGTTCATTTGGAATGAAATAAAATTTCATCTGTATTTGCTTAAGCTACATGTGTGTAAAATTTATACCTGCTACCATGGAAGTTAAATCAGGAAAGTCAGGTGTCAGAGGAGCCTTTCAGAAGAGGGTTTTAAGAAAGATAAATGGATAAAGAAAATGTGACGTATATACACATAAATATTTTCAGCATTAAAAAAGAAGGAAATCCTGCCATTCGCAACAACATGGTTGAAACTGGAGGACATTATGCTAAGTGGAATAAGCCAGACACAGAAAGACAAATACTGCATGATCTTACTTATGTGTGGAAACTAAAAATGTCAAATGAGTAAAAGCGGAGAATAGAATGCTGGGTTGCCAGGGTCTGGGGGGTGAGGGAAATGGGGAGATGTTGGTCGAAGGGTACAAAGTTTCAGTTAAGTAGGATGAATAAGTTCTGGAGATCTAATGTACAGCATGGTAACTATAGTTAATAATATTGCATTGTATACTTGAAATTTGCTAAAAGAGTTTAAGTGTTCTCACCAAAACAGGTAAAAGATAATTATGTGAAAAAAAAGAGAAAGAGCATGTGGTCAGCCCCAACAAATCCTGAGAAGACTGAATGAGAAGTTTTTCACCTTGGTGAGAGTGGAAGTGTGATTCTAAGTAAGGACTGAATGAGTGGTCAATGGAGAAAGTGAATATTCCAAAAAAGATTAGCAATTACAGAAAGATGAACAGTAGCAAAGTTCTCCTTGCCTCTGTTTTCTTATCTGTGAAATAATAAATAAAAATGCAGAACTGGTATTAGAGTTAATGAAATAATGTGTGAAACATGCTTAGCAGAGTGTCTGACACAAAACGGATGCTTTATAAGCATTAGTTTTCTATCCTTATATTCCAATCTCTTTCCTTTCCCAGAAGGAGGGATCTAGGGATGGGATGGCTTCCCAATGTGCTTGTTGAATTCCTTAGTTATGTCTACTCCTCTGTAAATGATCCTTTCATTAAAATCACTTCAGTTAAAACATCAGAGAGGAATTCCATTTCCTACTTGGATCCTGACTGACATATCTGGGAATGTAAAACGTAACCAAAAGTCGAAATACTACACCTCATTCCGTAGGAGATTTGAGACAAGAGAGCCTCACATGGAAGAATGAGAGCCAGCATCTGGGAAAAGTTGGATGGTCAGTCCCTAGGATAGGGAGATGCGTTTGAAAGAAGAAAATTATGAGCTTG